AGTGAAAGTTACTTATTTACACATTTTTTTGAACTACTTAAAGTCCTTATGTTCCAAATTTGTACCGTCACAGTCTCACCTTCTCGACAAGTGTTTCCAGATTCTTATTTGACCACAATTTTGAATCAGAACATAAAAGTTGAAGGTCAATATAATATTTCGATGTCATATTTTGAAAATCATTTGACCCAGTCATCGTACAAAATATGTGCAATATATTAACATAAATTTAAATATTTTCGTAATTTATGAAAAAGCCATTGAGAACTATTTAATTCGAACATCGCGGTCTTGACACATTCAGCTAACATTAAATAATATTTAATTGGACATTTTAATATTAATTATTTTTTATCTAAAAGATGCTAAAAGTAAAAATTATATAAAAACGGTTCTTTTCTTGTGTCTAAAAGTTGAGGTGTAAACATGTGTAATAATAATCCTCCCGTTTTTTTGTATCTTTATATACATGAAAGGGTGTTGCAATAAAAAAAGAATAAAATGTCAGAAGCGAGCGATATGAAAGAATATTTAATTTAATTTAACCCGTAACGGTTTTTGAAAAACATGTACATATTTATTATACCATAATAGAGATATTTTGTAACTTTTGAGCGCTCGATATTTTGTTTTAGTTTTCGGTGTTTTTATTTTCTTTTATTCTCATATTGGTACTGTGTATTAATATAAATATATGTATAAAACTAGTGCTGTAGGGAAAGTGGCCACCTTTACGATTTATTAGATTTATTTCGATACAAATTCCGTTAATTTTGTGATTATTATTATTATACATTTTTCTTTGTTAAGCACGTTTTTGGTCTTTTTTTCTTGATATCGGTTCGGTTCAGGTTCAACTGATTTTGCTCAGTTAATCCCGTTGTGTTCGAATTTTGTACTATTTTTAGTACAAGTAACAGTCTACACGTCTTTAGATATATTTCTGTTATAAAAAAAATATTCTCTTACATTTTTTTTTACTTCACAGAACAAAACTATTAAAATAATAGACGTGTACGCGTTTAGTTCTGTATTTTGTAGTTGCTACCCACTGCCAACCGTGCCTTTGGCCGCTAATGTTAGGTCGTGATTTTTATTTTCTCCCTGTATATAAATTGTTACGATGTGTATATTAGTTGTGTCTGGGAACAAATATGATTGGTAACTGTCACTGTAATCATGTATTTGTGAACAGCATTTTTAATAAATAATAACCCATACAGTTCTGTTTATTATTTAAAAATAAAAAAATCAATATCTGCACATTCACAAATATTATACAGTTATGGGTGAATTGCTCTATTTTGTATCAAACGAATGAAAAGAACAATTTAAAACAAATTCAATGGCAAAAATCTGTTTTTTGAATATTTTATTGACTTATAAATATTTTATAACAAAATGTTCATAATAACAAAAAGTTTTAAGCACAGTTTTATTCCATTCTTCAATATTGTTTTCTCAAAAACTAAAAAGTTATTTTTCAAAACGTGTTGGTTCATTGGAAAGAGGACACTCTTATTAACACTTTGGGAAATTTTTATACTCACTATCTAAGAAATGGATTTTATACGAATTTTTAAACCTTAATCGGGGGAAATTGCAAAATCAAAAAAATTGTCGATTATTTCAAAAATTTATTTCTCAAGAACTACAGGTGACTTTTCAAAATGGCTTGTTGCATTAAAAAGAGGATACTTTAATTAATAATTGGTGATACTTCCACAAAGATCCTTCAAGAAATTAATTTTATAGCGAATTTTGAAAATTATCGATGAAAATTGCAACATCGAAAATTTGATTAAAAATTTAAATATTGTTTTCTCAAAAACTAGAAGTTATTTTTCAAATCGTGTTGGTTCATTAGAAAGAGGAGACTCTTATTAACACTTTGGGAAAGTTTCATACTTATATACCAAAAAATGGATTTTATACGAATTTTTAAAACTTATTCGGCGGAAATTGCAAAATTCGAAAAAATTGTCGATCATTTCAAAAATTTATTTCTCAAGAACTGAACGTGATTTTTCCAAACGGTTTTTTGCATTAAAAAGAGGATACTTTAATTAATAATTGGTGATATTTCCACAAGGATCCTTCAAGAAATTAATTTTATAGCGAATTTTGAAAATTATCGATGAAAATTGCAACATCGAAAATTTTATCAAAACTTCAAATATTGTTTTCTCAAAAACTAAAAGTTATTTTTCAAAACGGGTTGGTTCATTGGAAAGAGGACACTTTTATTAACACTTTGGGAAATTTTCATACTCATATTCCAAGAAATGGATTTTATACGAATTTTTAAAACTTAATCGGCGAAAATTGCAAAATTCGAAAAAATTGTCGATCATTTCAAAAATTTATTTCTCAAGAACTGAAAGTGATTTTTCAAAACGGCTTTTTGCATTAAAAAGAGGATACTTTAATTAATAATTGGTGATATTTCCACAAGGATCCTTCAAGAAATTAATTTTATAGCGAATTTTGAAAATTATCGATGAAAATTGCAACATCGAAAATTTTATCAAAACTTCAAATATTGTTTTCTCAAAAACTAAAAGTTATTTTTCAAAACGGGTTGGTTCATTGGAAAGAGGACACTTTTATTAACACTTTGGGAAATTTTCATACTCATATTCCAAGAAATGGATTTTATACGAATTTTTAAAACTTAATCGGCGAAAATTGCAAAATTCGAAAAAATTGTCGATTATTTCAAAAATTTATTTCTCAAGAACTAAAAGTGATTTTTCAAAACGGCTTTTTGCATTAAAAAGAGGATACTTTAATTAATAATTGGTGATATTTCCACAAGGATCCTTCAAGAAATTAATTTTATAGCGAATTTTGAAAATTATCGATGAAAATTGCAACATCGAAAATTTTATCAAAACTTCAAATATTGTTTTCTCAAAAACTAAAAGTTATTTTTCAAAACGGGTTGGTTCATTGGAAAGAGGACACTTTTATTAACACTTTGGGAAATTTTCATACTCATATTCCAAGAAATGGATTTTATACGAATTTTTAAAACTTAATCGGCGAAAATTGCAAAATTCGAAAAAATTGTCGATTATTTCAAAAATTTATTTCTCAAGAACTAAAAGTGATTTTTCAAAACGGCTTTTTGCATTAAAAAGAGGATACTTTAATTAATAATTGGTGATATTTCCACAAGGATCCTTCAAGAAATTAATTTTATAGCGAATTTTAAATATCGATGAAAATTTGCAACATCGAAAATTTTATCAAAACTTCAAATATTGTTTTCTCAAAAACTAAATGCTATTTTTCAAAACCGGTTGGTTCATTGAAAAGAGGACACTTTTATTAACACTTTGGGAAATTTTCATACTCATATTCCAACAAATTGATTTTATACGAATTTTTAAATCTTAATCGGCGATAATTCCTAAATTCGAAAAAATTGTCGATCATTTCAAAAATTTATTTCTCAAGAACTGAAAGTGATATTTCAAAACGGTTTTTTGCATTAAAAAGAGGATACTTTAATTAATAATCGAAAGTGATAACAGCGACAGTTCTGTTAGTATTGAATGTGATGAGCTGCACCAACTGCAACAAGAGATTTTATATACAGGGTGTATCAGGTATAAGTAGATAAAATTTGAGGGGTTATATTATATTACAATGTCCCATTCTTTGTCCTTCTTAAGATATGATATGATAAAGTTAAGGGTTCACAAGTTTGAGTACTACTGGTTAATGAATTATACTAAGCAGGCTTTGCTTTGCAATTCGTAATTTGATTCTAGTTTTGTATTTTTGGTGTTTTTAATACAATAAGTAAATTTATATATTAAAAAAAAATGATAGTGATAAAACAGAAGTGATCAATTGATTCGTATAAAGTAAACAACCTGTAAAACCATATCTCAAAAATGACTTTTATGTGGCAAATTAAAGCTATATACATAAGCAAAGCCTGCTAAGTATAATTCTTTATACACCAGTGCTTAAACTTTCAAACCCTTAACTTTATCATATCTTAAGGATGAGACATTGTGTCATAATTCACAATAACGGAACCTATAACCCTTCAAATTTTTCCTACTAATACCTGATACATCCTGTATTGTATTGGGATTTTTACAATGAGGTTGCTAATGACAAATCTGATATGAATAAAGTTATATTAAATGAAAAAAGTCTTATTGAGGTTGAACTTGATTATTATCTGCAGTGTCCAACGCCTAAAAGAGATACTAATTCCTGTGAATGGTGGAGTACTAAGTAATAGGTTTTTAATATCCGTTCCACCACTAGTAGGTATGCATTTATCTCACTAAAAATTGGCTTCTATCTGGCAACTCTTCATGATAGTTTACTTTTCGAAGTACATTTCTCACAGTCTTCGACTGCACTAAATTTGCTACTGTCTCAAGTGTTTAGACACATTTAGTAGGTTGCACAGTTGAGACTCGAACCCAAAGAAACGTTATTTTTGATTTTCGGCCTAAAACCACAACGATCAGGATGTATCCCACTATTCTGGTACTTAGAAATTGTTAATAACGTATTCACACGAATTTAGAATTATCATCCAAGATCCAAAACGAAAACTTTGAAGTGTACTACAAGAAATGAAGTATATTCCTTATGCGTTTCGGTATTTGACCCATACAACCCAAAAATGATCATATACAAGGTGTCAAAAACGCAATACATCATGTATCATGTACGCGTATTAACCTGACTAAGAAAGAATATATTAGGATATAAGATTACTACTTAGCGCATCCCCTCCATCGCCAAGTTAAACTGAAAAAATCACGATTTTTGGTATTAAACTCTTACTTGTGGATTAAAACATAATCTCCTTGTACATAATTGGATAAAAACACTTGATCATTTCAAGTTGCAATAATTAAATTTTACTTTTATCAAAATTTATAAAATTTCTTCGAAATCGATCAAGATAAGTATGCAATCTCAATTTATTTCCACAGTACAATTTTCCCCCCACTATGTAACGCGTCATAACAACTTTCTCAAGTTGCAATTTATCGTTGAACTTTGCCAAGAAAACATCTCATTTAAAAGTGCAAAAAAATTTGTGAAATGTAAGTAAAAATTTAAATTCATGGCCAACATAAAGATAACTAAAACCCCCAAAATTTGACATTTAAAAACAAACATGAGTCCCAGCGTTAAAGGTATTATTCGTTTACTAAACTATTTTAATCATTTAAACACTTTTCCAGAGCGAATTGTTGCAACGCCACGTTTAATAACACGTTTACTTTTAACTCCCACCTAAGCAATTCCTATTCAAGTCGTTGTAATCGTTATTTTCGCGGAATGATACATCTTTGTTAAGGTTATGTTGTGTTATTGTCTTTTTTTAGGGATTCGATGACTCGAAAACGGACAAATACTACTAAAATGGATAATTCTAATATAAACCATGGACACGTGGATAATGAAAAAGTCAGTATACGAAAGGAACATGAAGTAATTTATAGTCATCGTAAAGGACTGTTCAATGGAAGAGCTATTCTTTTTTTACTACTTTGGTATTTGTTTAGTGGATGTACTTTATTTTTGAATAAGTATATTTTAACGTATTTAAATGGAAATCCTACAGTATTAGGTAAATAAATTCATTTTATCAAGTTTTGGATGTGATTTAAATTGATGTTTTTTGTAGGGGCATCTCAAATGTTGACAACAGCAAGTTGTGGATTTATACAAATGTATTTCCCTTGTGGGATGTACAAACCTAATCAAAGATTAAATAAACCACCTGGTTTTTATCGTCATATGATACTAGTTGGTTGTACCAGGTAATTTTTTTTATTATGATAAAACCTTGATATAATGGACAAAATATTGTTAAGACATATTATTATCTATTTAATACAACACTAAGCTCAGGATATTCCCTAAGTTGTCTATATGATGTATAAATCAAGGATGGTAGTTCTAGTTTTAATTGTTATTTACCACTAGGTTGTTGCATATTTGTATTGAACAAAGAGACTAGACCTAGAACTAGAATCATTTGGATTTAGCCATCTTAAGAGACTCACAGCTAAACCCAAAGGATTGTAGTTCTAGGTCTGGTGTTAGTTCTAGTTTCAGTTGTTATTCAGCATTAGATTGTTGTATACAGTAAGATCTCGTTTATCGCGCTAGATGCATTTCCTGAAGATAGGAAGCGCTAAATGAAAAAGTGTTATGAGGTCATTTTAACACATAGTAAATAGAGAAACGGGAATATGCCACTAAAAATAAACAAATTTTACTTTAATTTTAAATTGTAATACTAGTAATTTACATTTTATATAATGTGTCTTTTATATAACTTTTATTCAAAACTAAAAACTGCAAGTTTCTTATCTCTTGACATTTTACTAATTGTTAGTTTGATCACAAAAAATAAAATAATGCTGAGATCAATTTGACATAACTTCATTTCTTTGACTAATAATAACCAATCTCTGAATTAATTCACTTGAGCCTGTGTATTATTTTATTTTTTGTGATCAAACTAACAATTTTAGGAGAAAATATCAAGAGACAAAAAAGTTGCGTGTTAAATCCCTCTATTTGAATCAATTTTTTAAATTGAGAAATGTAGACGCATTAAAAAGTTGTGATGCAAAGTATTATAGGGGTTGATTTTTCAGCCCCTTGTAATAACATTTTTGGGTTATAAAAATGGTTACAAAGTGCCATTTTATTAGCAACAGTTATCTGCCAAATTTCATTCTTCTAAATTCCTCCATACTGGATTTAGTAAATAAAAACGATTTCCCTCCTAACTTTAAAGTGTTATAATTCGGTGGGGAAGAGGTTTTGAACAAAAAGTTATATGAAAGACCCCCCTTAATTTTTGTTGAAAAATCACTCCTTGAAATCTTTCTTATCAATTTAGAAACACCCTGTATTTAAGCTTATATTGGTGATGAAGGTTGTGGCTCTTCTGATATTGTTGATTTTTTGGCAAAGAAATCGTCTAGTTTCTTTTTCTTTCATTAAGCAGGGGATCGCATCCAAAACTCCTCTTCTTGTTTTTGCACTCCTGTCAAAATTTGGGTCATTCGCTACAATTTGATCTACTATTTCGATTATCCTTTCCAAACTTTTTTTAAGAAAATCTGTGGTAATCAGTCTTCAGAACCACTGTTTTCGCCTTCTTCAATTCCTTGTTCTGCCAGTTCCTGAAGGTCGTCGTTAGTAAGGCCTTCACCAGAAATCTGCAGTGGTTCTATGTGACTGTGGTTAGACCTATGATCACATATGGAGCAGCAGCCTGGTATAGGAAAGTCCGACAGACTTCAGTTATCAGTAAACTTTCACGAATTCAACGAGTAACTGGATTGGCATCTCTGGTGCGATAAGCACAACGCCAACTCTAGCAATGGAGGTTCTGCTTGACCTATCTCCTCTGCATTTGCATATAGAGAAAGTGTCTAGAACAACCATTTACAGATTTAAGCAATATGCTCAAAACTGTTCCGACATGTCCTACCAATGGGCTGTGGAAGACATTATAAGCACTGATACTCTGCTTGGCGGGATCACTATCAGTGATTAATGCTTGATACCAGATTGTACTGCCTGAGCGGCAGTCCTGGATCGCAACTGAAAATTCCCTGGTTGGGGCAGATATATACATGTTCACAGATGGATCAAAAACGCCGGACGGGGTCGGAACAGGAGTATACTGCCAGCACCTCGAATTAAGCAAGGTTATAGCCTGGGTACGTACTGTACTGTATTCCAGGCGGAAGTATTTGCTATTGACATGGGTGTTACAATCAAGCCGCTCTCCAGGCACTGCAACCTGTGAAAACGGTGTCGGCTCTAGTTAATGATTGTAAGAGAACAATAAACACACTGAGTTGTGATAATAGAGTTTCTCTAATCTGGGTCCCGGGTCACTCTGGGGTTGCTGGCACGAGAGGGCAGCGCTAAAGCGTTTGTGGGGCCGGAACCAGCAGTTGGTGTATCATTTGCGATGGTCAAATATAGGATTGGACTGTGGGCTGAAGAGACACTGCGCGTACTGCGGACCAGTTCTCCTAGAATTAGACATGCTAAGGTGTTTATTAACATCGCCCCTGTGAAACCCGGAAATATTTTAGGACTTGCTTGTAGCAGCAGAAAAGTTCTAATGGGGTCTTTACTGGGCACTGCCGATTAAAAGCACACCTTAACTTGTTGAGTTTAGCCGACGATGTTGAATGCCGACTATGTGCGGAGGAAACAGAGACGGTTGAGGAGGATTCTCAAAGGATCTGAATGACCTTTCACTGAGCAAGGAATTAATATTCGTTAAGAGCATTGGACTGCACGGTGAAATTTGATAACGATATCTATGCAGTAGCTCCTCAATATCCTGCTCATCTACGTCTCCTAGTCCTGCTGTTTAGACTAGATTGACAATTTGACCAACAATCTCGTTGATAATCCTGGGATACTTCCTGCCATATCTTCTTCCACATTTCATTCATACACTTCTTAGTTAATTCTTGCCATGCGACGTCGATATTGCCTATGGCATCTAGAATGTTATATTTTTTCCAAAATTACAAAATTGTTTATCTCCACCTTCTGTTTTATCAATAAGTTGTTTAAATGTACGACGAAGATAATGTGCCTTAAAATTTGCAATAACTTCCTGGTCAATTGGCTCAATTAACGACGTAGTGTTCAAGTGTTTTGAACCAATTTTGAAAAATGTCTCTTGTGATCCAAGATTTCTTATTGAATTCCTAAACGATGGGTAGACTAGATTTTAGAATTCCTTTTGACTCTTGGGGTTTTGCTATGATACACAAGTAGAGCTTTTAATTTTAAATCGCCCAGAAGATGGATGAACGGGTCTTTTGCAGCTTTGAAACTCAGTGCTCGCTTTTTTTCTCGCGATATAATTGTGCGCTTTGGCATTCTCTTCCAAAAAAGTTTTGTTTCATCCACGTTAAAAACCAATTCTGGTGGATAATTTCCTCTTTCAATTATGGCTTTTAAGGTTGCAAGAAAAATTGAAGCAGTATCTGCTTCTCTGGTGATTCGAATGTTGTGGAGGTTGCTTCTTTTATTAAAATTATCGAACCAACCTCGACTAGCTGTAAAATTTTCACTTGTATCTTCTTTTTCATTTTGAATGTGATTAAAAATATTTACGGCCTTTTGCATGATGGTTTTTTGACTTAGGCATGTTGCGTTCGATTTTATCACCAACCCAAATGCAAAGAAGTTGTTCCATGTTTTCTAAAATATTGCTTCTTGATCGAGTTATCTTTGCTGCACTAGACGATGTGGTAGTAGTTGATGACAAATTTATTTTATCTTTGTTTCATGTCATACATATCAAAATTTGAATGTGTTTCCTAACCTTCAACTTTCAACCTTATACAACGAGACTCCTGATGATGGTCTAGGCCGAAACCGGTAGAGTTAATAAATTTATAAAATATATTGGACAAAAACATTGTTTATTTTACTATCTATCACATATAATATACCAATATGGATGAAAACCCATTTACCAATTATGTTTTACTTAGAACGTGAAAGTGTTGAACATTCTTTAATAGCTTACAAAACTGAAATACACCAAACAAGCATAAATTCTGGGGAATCACAGCGCTACGATGCTATTCAGTGCTGAATAACAATTCAGATACATTCAGTGTTAGTTCTAATACTAGTGTTAGTTGTAGTATTAGTTATTCAGCGTTCTAGTGTTATTATTCAGAGTCTTTAAAGTGCAAATTAAAAATTTTTCAGACATTCTCTTCCCTATAGTAGTCTAATATATCAATGTTTTATATCAAAAATGTGTTTGAAGATTACTTTATTGATAATTTAAAAATAATTTGTTTTAGATTTTTGACTGTAGTTTTAGGATTGGTAGCCTTAAATTATGTGGCAGTAAGTTTTACTGAAACCATAAAAAGTTCAGCACCTTTATTCACGGTGATCATATCAAGATGTCTTCTGGGAGAACACACAGGGATTTTTGTCAATTTAAGTTTATTACCTGTTATGGTAGGTCTCGCGTTGTGTTCAGCCAATGAACTTAGTTTTGAAGTTCGAGGATTTATCGCAGCTATGGCTACCAATCTTACAGAGTGCCTGCAGAATGTTTACTCGAAAATGCTCATATCGGGAGATAAATTTAAATACACGTAAAAAATTGTTTTATATTTATTTTAGTGGTATATTTGGTAATTGTTTTTAATTTTAGTCCAGCAGAGTTACAATTTTACACAAGTTTAGCAAGTATTGTAGTACAAATTCCCGCGTCAATGTGGTTAGTTGATATGAGTTCTGCTGAACGTCCAGAAATAAAACATATTTTTTATTTCGTTTTAAATGGTCTGTTCTTCCATTTTCAAAGCATCACTGCGTATGTTCTTATGGATTATATAAGTCCAGTTGCTCATAGGTAAATATACACTTTCTTTAATTAAAATCAAACTGAATAAGTAATTATTTTAGCGTAGCAAATACAGCAAAACGTGCTTTACTTATTTGGTTCTCAGTGTTAATGTTTGACAACCCAGTAACACTACTAAGTGGTCTTGGTACGTTTGTGGTGATTGCTGGAGTTTTACTTTATATTAAAGCACAACAATACGATGATAAGTCGAGATCATCAAATTTAATGCAAAGAAAAGTGAGGGCTATTTAGCCTGATATAGATTTTTTTTATAGTCTAAAGAAACATTCCCTGGGAACGATTTAAGTTAAATTTATCAAAAAATGTGATATTTTCAGCTCTCTAAGAATACTGTTAGAGAAGTTTCCAGTTTTAGTAAATTTAATTTATTAATTTAAAAAAATTTATTTATTTTATTTATTTGGCACATGATAATAAATTGTAAATAAATGTAAATAAATAAATCAAATGAAAGAATCGAATTTTATTTCCCACTTTGTCTAATAGACTATGTATTGACTAATGTATTTACAAGTAATGTGCCAAATGAAAAATTAATTGTTTAAATTTTTGTCTTTAGGAAGAAATATGAAGTAATTAGCGGTGGATCAGATATGGCAACTATCTGCTATCCAGCCATTTTTATCAAATATGCCGCTTTGGACGGATATTAAAAATCTATTACTTAGTACTCCACCATTCACTGCAGATAATAATCAAGTTCAACCCCAATAGGACTTGTTTTATTGAATACAACTTTATTTATATCAGGTTTGTCATTAGCAACCTCATTGTTTTTCGAATTTTACAATTTTCGCCGATTAAGTTTTAAAAATTCGTGTAAAATCGATTTCTTGGAATATGAGTTTGAAAATTTCTCAAAGTGTTAATAAGAGTCTCCTCTTTCCAATGAACCAACACGATTTGAAAAATAACTTTTAGTTTTTGAGAAAACAATATTTGAAGTTTTGATAAAATTTTCGATGTTGCAATTTTCATCGATAATTTTCAAAATTCGCTATAAAATTAATTTTTTGAGGGATCCATGTGGAAATGTCACCAATTATTAATTAAAGTATCCTCTTTTTAATGCAAAAAGCCGTTTTGAAAAATCACTTTCAGTTCTTGAGAAATAAATTTTTGAAATGATCGACAAGAAGAAAACAAATTTTATTCTGAACCCTTAGTACATAAAATAAAATAAATAAGAGCAATGGTATCAATACATTTATATATATATATATATATATACATACATACAATATACGGGGTAGAATAGGGCTACCGACCAGGGTCTTTCTGCCCGTGAATTTTGTAGGCGACGGCTTGCATCAGTCTTCTCTGACTGCCAGGAGTTTTTGGAAGAGAAGAGGTGGATTGTTGAAAGGGTGGAGCAATCGAGGAGATATAAGCATGTGTTGGAAGACGTTGGTAAGTTGAGATAGATGTTCATTGCTAGAGTTAAAGAGGGGATTACGGGGGTTTCTAATTCGGGTGATGAATCGCAGTGCAGATCTTTCCGCCACTTCCAGGTGGTACTTCGTTCTTCTTGGTGCGCCACTTAGCAGCATTGATCCATATTCTATGATGGGCCTGCATATGGTCTTGTAGATGTGCGAGGCACATGAGGTAGAGATTCCGCGACCTCTGAACGAGAGGGATTTATAGTGTTTGGCGCGTGTCTTTACTTTCATCTTCACCTTGGTTGCATGAGTGGAAAACTTAAGCGTTCTGTCAAGTGTTATGCCAAGATACTTGCAGGTTGGTGAGACGGAGATTGCCGTTGATTGTATTGTAATTGTGGGAGAGGGAGCGCGGGGTGAAAGGAATGGGACAAAAAATTGTGTTTTTGTGGGATTGAGTAGGATGCGCCATTTTCGGTACCAATTTTCTATTCTTCTTTTCTGGTACTGTGCGAGACCAATGCTGTGTCGTCGGCATAAAGTAGTGCGTGTGCGCTGAGGTTAAAGGCGTCTGGGTTGTCGTTGTAAAGATCGTGGCAGAATAGATTGTATAGAGAGGGGGAGATAGGTGAACCCTGAGGAAGGCCTTGCTGAGCGGAGAAGCTGTGGGAGAAGTGATTTTTCAACTTCACGATGGAGGAGCGATTCGACAGGAATTGGTTTATCAGGGTTAGAAGGTAGTATGGCGTTTTTAGCTTATCCAGTTTAAATAGCAATCCTTTGTGCCACACTGAGTCAAAGGCTTTTCGGACGTCCAGAAATACTGCTGCAGATTTCAGTTTTACAAAACGTGCCGCCTGGAAGTTGGAAACCAGAATAGTTAGTGGCTGGGACGTTGATTTGCCGGATTGGAAGCCAAATTGGTTTGATCTTTGATACCACAGCCAGGAGCTTGTTCTTCAAGTGCGTCTCGAAGAGTTTTCCAATTACGGGGAGCAGTGAGATGGGGCGATAGTTTGCTGGATCAGATAGACAAGAATCCTTGGGAATACAAGTGATAATTGACGTCTTCCAGTCGCGCGGGAAATGCTGAGTCATAAGGCAAAAGTTAATTATTTTTCTGATAAAGCCGTGGATGTTAAGATCTAGACTTCTTAGCAGTTCCCTTGTGATGTTATCATAGCCGGAAGCGGTATCCTTTCCCTGTCCAAGAAGAGTAAAATATTCGTCTTCTAATATGAGAGCGTCCTCGGGTGTATCGAACGGTGTCAAAAATGCGGATTCGTACCAATTATCTATAATGTTTTTATTGTGGGAACAAAACGAAACATCCTCGGTAAAGGTGAATACACCTTCCAGGTAGTCAGCGTGTATGTTGACAATCTCTTCAGGGTTGGAGTGCACACCGCCATCGGTAGGATCAATGAGCTCCTCCGTTCCAGGTGTCTTTTGGTATCTTGATAGTTTTCGAATTTCGTGCCAATAGTTTCTTCCTTTACACAGTTTTATTTTGTCACAGGCTTCCATGTACTTTTCCGTTCTGTATTGCTGAATTAGTTTCTGTATCTTTTTGTTGAACTCATTAAACTTCTTTTTCAACTCAGGCACTTCATATACCCTGAAGTCTCGATATAGGCGTCTTTTCTCCTTGATGAGTCTGATAATAAATGGAGGTAGCGGAAAACTGTAGTGTTTGGTGGTTCTGGATGGGCTCGCTTTGTCTATCGACTCCTTAAGACATTTGTTAAACCTTGAAATCGTGTCAACTGTGATTGTCTGATGTGCTTCTATGAAGTCTTTCATTATTGAGTTAACTGTCTCCATGTCGCAAAGCTTATAGTTTTTAATTAAAGTCGGAACAGGTTTAGGTACGTTGGTTGTGACGTTGACATAAACTAAAATGCCCAAGTGATCGGAGCATAAATCCGGAACAACTTCTACCTGTGTAATTAGACCGCGGATGTTTCTTGTGCAGAACAGTAGATCAGGAGTAGAGTTCGGATTGTTTTCCATAACGTACGTGGGAGGAGTCGTGATTTGTACGAAATTGGACATATTCAGGAATTGTCTTATGTGTTTCCTTTTGGTTGGATTCGGATTGAAGTCACCAATTATGAGACATTTGTCGTGCAGTGAGGCCATGTTAAATATGGATTCTTCAATTTTACTAAACGGGTGGATATAAATTAAGAAAACATGTATTAAGTCTGTCCCGATAGTGATACAAAAATGAAGTGCATTATTTAATGGAGAGTTGATTGCGGGGGGGTTGGATTTTCTCAATTGTATCGCGGGGTGGCCCATAGCCACCGCTCCTCCTCTGACTCCTCTATTTATAATATTGCCGTGGTTTTGGATTGACGTCCAGTTTCTAAATGTGATGGAAGACTTCGATTTTGTTTCCACAAACATTGCGCAACGGATGTGATTCTCAATGATGTAGTTTCCGATCAGGTGTGATTTCGGGTGGTAGCTGTTAATGTTTGCGTACAATAATTTTATGCTGGTCATTGTTGATCTTGCGGAATCGAGGATTGGTAGCCGTGGATAGGTTCTGTAGGAGATGGCTTAGAGGTGTCCTGGAGATCAATCATGATAACGTACATGTAACTTCCAGAGAATGCGACAATCGTATCGATTTGGTAGTTTTCTACAAATTTCCGTTTGAGGGAATTGATAAGCTCTTGACGATCGCGTGGTTTGGGTGAGTTAATTTTTGAGAGGTAGGTATCAATAATGTGGTCGTGAATGGTGATTGGTTTATGTATGCGTGTTTCTTTTGTTTTTGTAGAAATTTGGTCAGATTTTTTATTAGCCGATTTTATTCTAACGTTAGGGACTCCTCGAATGGGAGCTGTGGGGCGGTTCTTGCATTTTAGTGACCAGGCACTGTGTCCCTCCAGGCCGCAGGATTTGCATTTCTCCGGTAGCTGTGAGGTGCATTTAGTGGTACTGTGTGGGCCGAGGCATTTTGAGCACTGCACTGTGGCAGTGCATTTGTCTGAGGTATGGGAAAATTCGTCGCATCTACTACACGGGATCGGCATTGGCGGTGGAGCGCGGCTTTCAAACACTGGAAAGTGGTTGTTTTTGAAGAATACTCCCGCTTGCAGAAGCTTTTGATAGGAGTCGACACACCCGGAAATTATCCTAATTTTATAGGTGGGCTTATCTGTGGCTTTTGAGATAATTCTTTTACAGTATCTGTGTGATATATTAAGCGAGTTCAGATGTTCGCTAATTTCTTGATCTGTAATTTCAAGATCAACGGAAGCAATAACTGCAGAGTATGAGGCCGATGGAATTTTTTTAATAGATGGTGTAAAATTTCTTGATTCAGAAAACT